TTTCTATTTATCGAAAGATCACATCGTGCTCTTTTTCATCTTCAGCAAATATTGAAAATGATACCTATTCATTAAATATAAAGATGGATACCGCTCCTATTCTGTTTCATTGCAACGCAAACGATGGTTTCAATAATACTTCGTTGTGTCCTATTCATTCTATTCAAGTAATTATAATATATATTTTTTTGCCTATTCATCCAATGTTAAACAATCTTTCTTTTAAGTCTTACAGGTTTGATTCTTGTTTCATTTTGCATGTCCTGCTATTAATTCGTTATGTCGCTAGTTCGAGTGAAATCTCAACTCTGCCATGGGACGTCTCAATATGCTCGATGTTCGCCAAATAGTGCGTGTGCCTGTTTCCATATAGCAGGTGCTATTGATATTGGTGTTTGTAGCGATGAATTCGTCGATTGTTCTGAACTAGTTACATGTGAACACTCAAACAACCTTTGTCATGAACCTAACCATAGATGTGTTCATCATCCTCGATGTCACAATCTTCCAGTTTGTTATCCGATTCCGAGTTTCAATCAACAACTCTGTCCACCAATAGCAAGTAAGAAGAAAAACAGTGATCTATAGATTTAAGTGAAAGCCGAATCTTTCTTAAAGTTATATCTTCATCCTTCACATACTCTTACATATGCAGTTCATGTTGATGTAGGAACATGGGAGTAGAGTCGAAAAGTCTTTGAAAAAAAAAATAGATGAAGCATGACAGAGATAAAACGAATCGTAATTTATTGAAGAAAATATTTTATCTCTTCTCATGGGCTATATCCATTGATTTGAAATACAGAGATTGCTGCTGTTATATCCAGTAATGCATGGAGACGTAGTGAACTTTTGAATAGACATCAGAGACAGAAACAAATTAAACAATTGATCATTCGATTCGTTTTGATTCGATTCAACTCTGTCAAATGTTCCAAATTTTAGGACATCGATAAGAGTGTATCCATTCTATTGTGTTAGGTTTCTCTTTATTCACAGTTTTCGTTGTACAATTGATTGATTTTTGTGAATATTGGGTTCACTTGACAGCATTTTTTCAAAACAAATCTGATCGACATTTGATTTGAAAGAAAACATTTATAATTTTCTCGGTTATGTTTCTTATGACTAAACTTGCGAAATTGAAGGCTGATCATTTAGCTGTGACGCAATAATTACTAAAGTTCAAGAGGGCTTTAGCCATTGAGTGATGTAAATATTCTACTAATGGTCAGTAGTGCAACTGTGTATGTAAATTATATTTCACAGCTTGTAGCACCATTGACTCAGCTGATTGAATAAATTACCAATAAGCACGGAATTCATATTGACGTGCTGTCATTGGTATGACTACTTTATTTTGCACGTTATTCCTACATGTATCCAACATTTGAGATTTCCTTTTTAACAGAAGAATATAACCATTCCAACTAACTGACAGTGAGAGGAATGAAAGAGAGAGCTCGTAGCAATTTATCTCCACCCTATTACTTTTTCCTTCAAGTAGACTTTTAAATTCGTTTCACTCATACTGTTGATATGAAAGCAGAATATTCTAATGTTTTGAGATGAACACACTGGTAGATGGGCAATTTATGTAAGAGGCTGAAATCACAAACTTCATACTTCGAATAACAATCTTGTACTACTGCAATATTAGCCAGCGTATTTCAATCTTTGCTAGTATTTAAACTACACCAGAATTGATGAATTTGAGCAGAATGGTCTCGACGGATTCTATTGAACTCAATGCAATTTGATTTGATTTGATTCAGTCGAATCACATCGAATGAAATTATCAAAAATTTTACTGGGTATTCGGTCTCCGATGAACACAGGTTTTCCATCAAAAGTCTCTTTTCAGACCATTTGAGATCAACGCTTTACTTTGAAACACTGCTTAGGCTTTACCTAAAATTGAAGTGTACCTAGTTCTATATTTCATTCTATATCATACCTAAAACTAACTGTTTTGTTTACATAAATGCTCTATGATAATGAATAGGAAGGAACACTACAACTGCAGCTACAATTCCAACTACAACTACAACCACCACTCAGCGGTCAGGTAAACTTTAGATTAACCATTTTTTACTTTAGTACATACTAATTTTTAATCAAATATATATAGTTGCTTTGTATGCACTATTACTCTGAAACTAGCTATAGGTTACATTGATGAAATCAACGATCTTATATCATGAGTGATTCGATCTCAATCATATGAAAAAAAATCAATTAATAGTAATTCCTATATTGACTATTTTCGTCATTATTGAATTTTACTTCGTGTTATTGACATCTACAAAACAAAAGCTATCCTTTCTCTTCGTTTGATACTACTGCATATGCTGTCTTTCAACCGAAGATGCTCTATTTAAATTTAAGAAAATATTCCAATTCACATACTATAAAAATGCGCTAGATTCTAAAGGTTTCTTCCTTCTCTTCCTTGTCTGAATGCAGACAATCTTAAAGTTAGGTGTATCAATTCGACCAACAACTTTTTCGAAACATTTCATTCGTACTTTTGGCTACCAAGATTGCAGAGAGCTGCTTGTTAGTGTCCGAAAAAAGAGTAAACATTTCACTGTCGTATGATATAAGATTATTCAAAAACTAATCAGTTGATCATTTTAAAGAACCGCCAAAATGGGTCCAGAGAGAAATTTGATTGTTACATGCACTTCATGCATGTCATTTACTACATATAAATCAACTAAGGATGCTTGACGTATACAGAAAGATATTGACTCACGTTCTAGAGGATCTTTCGTAATGAATCTCTAGGAAAACATCAGAACATTCGTGTTTTCGAAGACTCAACATCGATAGCACAAACGTAGGATACACGGGAACAGAGGAATGAAGAATTAAAAGTTGTCCCGCTATGAAAACATAGCGGCAAATCTGGATGCTGTAAGAAAACCGCGGTTGACGAAAGAGATTTTTACAAATTTCAATTGATCTGACTCCCTTAATTTGTTTTGAACCCAGAGGTATTGGATGATTTCTTGTCATTCCATTGAAATCGGTTTTCATTCATTTCAGTAAAGAACAAGGTACCTAAAAGAAAAAATTCTGGATGTAGGATGTAGAGTGTGACTGAAGTGAGGATGCGTACCCACACTCCACAGGCAAACACTTTCTGCAAATCCAGTTAATACTGTGAGTACGATCGAGAGTGGATCTTGAAAGAATCTAGCTTAATGCCCTTGCTCTCTCATCACGCTCATAGCCAAAATTAGCAATTTTTTAGCAAGAATTGCAAACACTCATTCATGAAAACTTCTCAGAAGGGATCTGACACTTACAATGAAGATTCTCTGAAGGGCATGAATATTTTGCTTTTTACACTGATACTCACACTTAAACCCTGATCAGAGTTAACTTAGTTAATCGAAACTTTTTCTTTTACTTTTCTCGAAAACTCTTCGGGTTGAAAAACTTGAAAAAAAAATTTTTGTTGGGTTCTAGTGAACAATACATCATTTGAAATGCAGAATACGATACTAGTGATGAATATCTAGCTCCTTTGAACTTTTCTTTGATTTCATTCTTGCTCAATCATTGATATTCTGAAAAGTCTGACATTTTGTAACGAACACTATTTATAGTTAATTAATCGATGCAGTTATTCTTGTCAAGAAATGACCTGATATTTTGAGAGCTAGTTAAAACTTGATCAACTTTTATATACACCATTTATTTTTATGTTGCTTCACTCTGTAGTAGAATTCTAAATTGAGCTTCATCGAAAAGAAATTCCACACCAGCTTACATTTTCTAAATAGTTCAGCTCGACTCAAAGGTAAATCAATTAAAATTTTACCGATAGTAGACCTAACTATTCTGTACCTATAATAGAAGTTTCAAAGAATTTTCCATTGCTATTGACCAGAAGTAGATGCTGAAATGAAAAAATAATGAAATTCAATAACGCTTAGACACAATATAATGTTAATGAACGATATTAAGCGTTTGCAAAGTATGTAAGTCCTTCAAAACGAAATTTATAAGAAAATATCTGTTGACTTGCATTACTTTGAGATATTTGATTACATCAATGCTTTGTAACCAATAGTTATCTTGTTTTTCCATTTCGATTCATGCCGATATCAAGTTAACTTGAATATTTAGAACGTTTACTAGGTTGATATTGCAACCAATTATATTCTTCATTGGACACATTTCTTAAATTTATTTTTCAATGATAACTAATTTTCGTTCATGTATTATCAACATACGACCGAAAATATCGACTTCGTATAGTTTTCGGACCATGAAATATGAGCCGATTCTAAACAGCAAGACTCGATGGTTCAATAGAACTTATGAGGAAACAGTCCCAATTGTCCATTCGTTTTTTTGAACGAAGATATACTCAAAAGGCAGACCTCAGTGAGTTATTAAATACCTACAATGGTGTGCTTTTTCGGGTTTTCTGAGCAGAGATATGTAATTTTTACTGTTACTAGTATTACTATACTAATATATTTATATCTTTGATATTTTGACTGAAAATGCTCTGGCCCGGCTCAAATTGATATTAATAGTAAGCATATGCGGGCCGGCCTGCAGACGAAGGGAGCAATTGCCTCCCCTGAAAAACTGGTGGAAGGGACAGGGGAGGCGGCCAATAAGGTTTCATTGTCCAAGCACTGATAATTTTTTCTTTTGAAATTATCGCGCTATATACTGAGGTAAAAACCTGCCTATCATTCAGAGACGTAAATAACGAACAATCAGCTTCAGTCTGTTTTCGAAAGTGTTCATAAGTGGCTTTTCAACAGCTAGCTAGAAACTTTTTTCGAGAAAACTTTCTAGAAAGCGTTTTATTTCGCACAATTTGTTTGGATCATTAGAAAAATTGTTGCTTCGTAAGTAAAGTTTGCTCAATAATTCTCAAAATGATAATGTATATTTTATTTTCATTCCGGCATACGGGCTTCTAATTTTAAGCATGCTTTCGCTTATTTTATTCTTAAGCGACGAAGACTATGATGATTGCTCCAAATTTACTGTCCAATCCCGGTGCCGAAGAAGGATCTATTGTTGGATGGAATCAAACTAGACCTTCGACTGTCATTGTTGATTCAAATGGAGCATTCAATAGCGATTATTATCCACATAGTGGATCTTATTGTTTTGCTGGTGGAAAGGAATTAAATGGTTCACCGTCAGGATTAATTCAAAATGTAAAACTTGTTGGTGGCGTTCAAGGTTTCACGGAAAGTCAACTTGACTCATATTTTTTCAGAGCGGAACTCGATTTTTATTATCAAACTTGGGACAGCTTTTTTATGCGTCATGATCAAGTGGAAGTTAGTTTGACATTTCGATCGTCTTCATCTTCTATATTGAACACAGTAACTACAGGAGAACTTGCTTGCAAGACATCAAATCCAGGATGGTGTCGTTATATCAGGTTGTTTCCGTTACCAAGGGGCACACGAAGTATTGATTATACAATTACATTCATTCGAAAAGACACGGGAGGCTCGAACATCGACTCCTATATTGATGATAATTCATTGAGAATCATATAAATGATTGCTTTTTCTTTTTTCACACTGATAAAATCATTCTCTTATCAAAGCTATTTTTTGCCAAGATATTTTCAATAAATCATCGTTGACACTCAATAAGAAATATTTCCAAAAGATTTGAATCGCAACTCATCAAATCCTATTGCTACTTTGTTTACGTACGGAGTGTGGGTGTCACTGAGCACAAAAGCTAGACGCAGTCCCACGCTATCAAATCCTAAGGTTTTGATTTATAATAACTCTTGAAAAATCTAGTAGTAATCATAGTTTTAGTGAAGGATAATGACTGAAGTCAAATGTATGTACCTTGCGTTAATATTTGCGCATACTATATAGATATTCGATGCGATAGTTAATTACGCAATGTTAGATTTTCTTGTTCTTTATCTTTTTGTTTCTTTTATGAATTTTCATCATATTTAAGTGAAATTGATTGAGAACTTGTATAATCTTTATAATTACTTTGTACACGTAAAGAATTTTTGTTCATAGGCAAATGTCGTTGAAATGCAATGTTTTTTGCTGGATAAATTATATACGGAAGAAAAATACACATAGAAAGGAAAATATCTATAGAGTTGAGAAACAAATAGTATAGATGTACGTAGTTATTATGTGTCATTTTTTTATAGTACGATTCTTTGGATTCATTTGACAAATACTTAAGTTCTATTAAAATAAATGTGGAAACCTCGGATTTAAATCCGAGTGTTATGTGTATTTCAAAAAGTAAAAACACAGAAGCAATTTCTGTTTAAGTATCTTTGCAATAGGTGACTTAGCCTTCTTGTTTCTTAATGTTTTATATACCATTTTGTAGCTCGTGAAATTCTCTATCGAATGGTATATAATAGTTGGAGTTTTATTTGATTATGAGAGGAAAAGTTTTTTTTACGAAAAGCAGGATATGTCAATGTTCGCATAAAAAAGCATAGGGAATAATGGGGTCCGGATAGTTGTATGCGGACACTTGCTCTCTATAGGACCCTATGTAACTGTTATAGCGAGCAAGTGTCCGGCGAGCAACTGTCCTAAACCCGGGAATAATGACTCTTTTTGCGATAACTCAGCAATGGCTCTACGAATCATTCTCATCTTCGAACTCGACCGAGATATTGATGAGACGAAACTGTGTAGAAAATTTCATCGTGGTCGAACGCTTCTTTCGAAAGTTATCGTGTAAACGGCTGGACGGCCAGACACACTGATCGATTCTATAGTGTACTCACTTTTTGAGTACACAAAAAGAACAAACAATAGTGATGGTACACACAATATTGTTTCAAATCACAATAAACAAGTTTCATTTATACGACAAAAATTTTTAGAAGTTGAATGCTACAATAAATAATGTTCATGTCAAGCTTATTCTTTATACAAGATTTCTATTAAGTTGATGGTTCATCACTAATAACTCGATAGTTGAGCAAATTACATTTGAAAATACTATCCTTGCTTGTTAGTATTAGACTATTTTATGCAGTACATGTGTCTGTATCAGCCTGATTAAATATAAAAACAGATGAACCAGAAAATTTTTGATGATTATACGAAAAATTAAGTCTTGCATACATAACCAGCAACAGTTAAATGGCAAGACGTGTTCGGCTATGATTAGGCATGCTGACTCTATATGAGTACCGAATTGAAAACTTACACCAAGTTCAGGTGTATAATTACCATTGATTCTATTAGTGTATTCATCTATCATACACTCATCAGATAGTTTTAATATACTATCAAATGGTTCCTTGTTAGAAATTTAAGGTATTTGTTGATAGATTATGTTTTTGAAAGCATGACAATATGGGCTACAATTATTTCCATGATATACAATGGAAAATGCTAATAAAATAATAGCCCTTTGTTATATGATGAAACATTCGAAAGGATTCATCAATTAATGCTATATTTTTGTCTTTTAATTCAATCAATATTAGATATAGTTGAAATTTTATAAAAAGATAATGATATATCTATTCTAATAATAAGATTATTAAAATTAATATTTTTATCTTATGTAAAAGGTAAAAGTAATTGTACATTATTACCTTTACGTTATTAGAATATGAAAAGAATGATATTATACAGGCATATTTTCTAGTAGACCAACAGAGGTACAAACGATTGATAAACGTGAAGATATACCATGAAGAAATATGATCACATAATCTTTCAATATTTAAATATGGTTCAATAAAATATATATGATCTAAAAGACAGTCATGTCATAATTTATGTAAAATATGACGATAGAAGCATATGTCATAATTGATTGATTTCTCTATACGTTAATCGCATATAAACGTATGATGTCTTATACGGTTATCGTATATAATCATGTTCTTTCAACCTGAAAAATATTTTGCAACACTCTTTGTTTTCTATATGCCCTAGAGTGCGAGTGTGGGGTGTGGCTGTGGATGTGAGTGTGAATGGGTGGGTGTGTTCTCTATAACCACATCCACACGCACACGCACATCCACACAAACATCCAGACCCACACTTACACCCACACCCACCCACCCACCCACCCCACATCCACACACCCATACCCACACCCGCACCCACATCCACACCCACACATCGACACCCACCCACACCACCCATCCACACAAACACCCAGACCCACACCTACACCCACACCCAAACCCCACACCCACACCCACCCACACCCACACACCCACACCCTTTATCACATGGAGATAATCATTATATTACAATCAAAAATTAAAGAAGCATTTTAAAAACCAATTTGAAATATTCTCGTAATACGACTAATTAGAAAATCAACTAATAATGATCAACTTCGATAAAGATTTTTTTTTCTTATCTTGTTAACTATCATCATGACTAATGTTCGTTCTTTCATTCTGCATTTCGCATGGTAGTGAAATTATTCTTTGTTATTGCACAATTCTTCTTCCTATATATATGTATATAAAGTAGTGCTTTTGTTTTCATGCATTCGTTTTCTCTCTTACATAATGGCTTGTCTCGTACACAATCCAAGATATCGTTCCTTATTTCATGCTGTTGTCAATGAAATTCGACAACAAAATTGTATACCTGTATGTAAGTTGCGAAATATGTCTCGCCAATGCTGTACATGCAACATTGTTGACCAGGAATCACCAACAAGTGTTTCTATTGATTGCAAAAATAAAGTAATGAAATTAAAAGTTCTTACCGATAAAATAGATCGAGATAAAATAAGTGATCCCAAACTTTGTCTATCATTGTACAGATTAGAAAAATATATAAAAGAGAATTGGATTTCACGTAGATACGTATTATCAACATCAACTGTTGATAAACCTATCAGAAAACTTGATAATGATTCATCTGATTTTGAAGAAAAGCAAATTATGGATGTTCGAGGATCTATGCTAAGAAGAAACAGAAGCAGTAACTTACGAGAAGCACTTAAAGATGGAAGATTTCTTTATTTACCATATAAACTTGAAAGAAAGTCAAATCTGGATTCACTAAATGAAGCTGCAAAAAAAGTACAACGTAGTCGATTTCTCGGTAGAAATGGTTACATCGCATCTTTAGAAAAACAGCACAATATTTATATCAATATGATAACATTGAAAACTACTAAAGCGATTATAAGAATACTCAAAAGTGCGAAAGCAGGCAAAGGAAATGTAACAATTCATAATGCAGAAGATCTGTCAGAGATCGAAGATGGTGAATGGTTGTTGGTTCGCGCGAGAATACGTGAAGGGAAAGGAAATGAAGTTGATTTTGATTCCATAATGGAAGAACTCACACTCCGATGGGATTGGTATTTGAAACAACTAATGAAAAAGAAAAGGTGATGAATGCAACGACGGCGATCATTCACAGAATAAACTAGATTGGTGCTTTTGTTTAAAAATTTTCTTTGTAATTTTAGTAAATATTTTCGATTGAATATTTATCAATAAACATATCTATATCTTCAATATAAAATTTGAGAGTGTGGATATGTTTCTCGTATTAGATAGATTCAAAGCATCATATAACGTTTCATCCTTGCTAAAGGTTTTAATATCTAAAATATAAGAGTGTTGAAATTCAAAGCATTACACAACCCGTTGTGATTGCTTGAGGTGTTGGATGCTTGCTGTTTGATGTGGTGGAGGACTTTTTTTCTTTGCGTTGCTTCATATTGAAGTGTTTGGGCCGGGTGTGGGTGTGGGTGTGGGCGTGGGTGTGGGTGGGTGTGGATATGGGTGTGGATGTGGGTGTGGTGTGGATGAAGAGAAGAAATTCGCCCACACCCACACCCACAGCCACCCCACCCTTAGTTTCTTTTTCAATAAATGTTTTGAATCGTAGGTATACATGCATGTATAGATAGTTTATTTGAAGTTTTTTTTTTGTATGAGCTGTCTCTTCTTGAAAATGATGTTTTTTAATAGTGGCATATTTAATATATTTATTTTAATATTGATGAAATATATCCACAGAGAGGATAACCGAACTCAACAAGCTTTTTTTTACCAAAAAAAAATCAACTCAAGCGTCAAAAAGCTTAAAAACTACTACTTTCCGAATTTTTTTCGGAATTAGCCAGATATTTTTCCGAAATTTTCCGAATTCAGGCAAATGAATTCCGATTTGTAAGATTTTGGTCTGGCAACCCTGGATTGTGCGTAAATCGATTGAAAACAGATCGATTAGTCTTTTGACGAAAAAGACATGTTTCATCTGCTACTCTTAACTTTGCCTTCTCAGCAATTGGTCTAGTCCAAACTCAAGTTAAGATTGAATAATAATAAATAAATGTGCTTCAATTGCAATGATCGAACAGCAATGCAAAGTTAATTTTACCCACGCGTTTCTTTTTTTAAATTTTAATATTGGACTACTCATAAGAGATCTGCATGACATTTTTAAGCATGAACAGTAACAAAAAAAATCAGAAGACGAAAGTATGAACTGAAGAAAAGTTTTCAAAGAATTAAAAATCAAAGGAAGATGAAAAATTGGAAAAGTAAAAATTGATTAATATTTCCTCTTTTTTTTTGTAAAACGGTTAGAATCTGAATTTTGAGAAAATATTTACAGATTCGTCTGAACATATCTATACTTCCATTCAGATCCTTTAAACTATCAATGGAAGTTTAAAGATTTATAGAAAAGTCTTTTCTATACAGAATTTCGATGCTTCGAATAAAAATCGATTTTACCTAATGAACTCTCACTGACTTCTTTCGAATTTGAAATCGACAGATGAAAACTTTCATAAAATCTAGACTATTAGAAACTGCAATTACGTTTCACTATAGCCAACTTCTTTGATTTTTTCTCATAGAATTATAAACAATTAGGATCAATGACTCTGATAGAAAGAATGATGATGCTACATAGATGGAATAGATCTCTAGCTGTTTAAATTCAAGTAGTTGTGTTTATTTGTTTCTTCAAAACGTCATGTTAGAGAAGATAGTCACTGATTTTCATTTTCAAAGGAGACTTTTTAGGTATGTAGCAAACCGAAACATTTAGCATACACTTTGATTTAAGTTTCATTTTTATCAGAATGAACTTATTGTTTATTTTGCATAGCACATGGTTACTGTCATATTTTTTTTTGGTAAATTTAATCACATTTTGTCACTTAATCAAGTCCTTCTGATAAATTATCTTCATGTAAATTAAGGTGCGCGTAATGCAAAATTTGAGCAGAAAACAAATCTAGATGAATTATACATCAGTCGATAGAGCTTTTCGCGCTGATTCAGAATATATATCTTTCA